GAGATATAAGAATTTTGCACCAAGACTAATATTTTGTTGAATTATCTGCATGTCTCTTGCAAATTGTCTATACAGTATACCTCGGTCATAAAAGTATTTGTGTGTACGTCTGATACCATACTACTTGTGAAGGAGGAAATGTATATGTTTATCTCTCAGAATATGTGGTAATATGTTTATGTTTGTGATGTGTGTGTATGTATGTATTAACACGATGAACTGAACGGGGTGAGAATAGCTTGAGCTACCTCATCCCTTTGTGTGTATTTTACATCAATAAACTTATTTCAATTTCAATTTCAATTTCCTGTTTAAGTAATTTACTTATATTTAATTTTGGTAATTTTACATAGCAACAGAACATATCTTTTACTGTGTATATTTTATTAAATGGAAATTAAGTAAATTTATATAGAACTAGGTGAGAAAATTTCCCACAACAATCTACTTCGTCACATACTAACACAAACAGGAAACTAACTATACTCATCTAACGCTTGGAAACACTACTTATTTTCCTGGGGGGAACTCTGTTTACACACCGCAAACAAAGTCCACTCCATTACACATAGAGAACACACTCTATTTTATCAAATTCTTGAAACATTATTCCATTACCCATCGGAAACAAATTCTGATCTATCACAAGCGAACACACTTTTTTTTCTATAACCCGCTTAAAACACATTAATCCGTAATTCCGGAAACACACTTCCCCATCCCAAATTAAAAATATACTGTACTCCATCATGCTCCGGGCTCCTCCAAACACCGAATACATTCTCTTCAAGGTCACACTTAAAAAGTCATCTTTAACACATTCCATAACACTTCTTAATGCTCTGCTCCATCATAAAACAATAATACACTCATCTCAATCACACAAACCGGAAAAACACTACTTCATCACACACAGGAAATAAAATTTACTCCCTCAGACATAAGGAATGCAGTGTTCTCCATCACACGCCAAAAACACGCCCAGTTTCATCACCAACCAGAAACACGCTCTGCTTTATCACACACCGGATCACACTTTGACCAAAGAGCCAGAGCTCAACCCCCGCAAGCACAACTAGGTGAGTACACTACACTCCATCACACCCTGGAAGCAAACTGATTTATCACACTTCAGAAACTCACTCTACTATACCAGACACCGGAAATATACTTGACATATATAAACCATCACTAAGAATATACTCTACTTCATGACACACTGAAAGCCCACTATACTCTAAAACACACAGAAAACGCACTCTGCTACATCATACACCGAGAATAAACACCGCTCCATCACACACCAAAGACACACTGTTTCAATATTCATTATGGCCAGGGTTTACTCAACCCCACAATATTCATCAGAAACACGCTGTTCCTCTACACACACCGACACACCTACATTACACACACAAAACTCATTATATTCTAACACATTTACAAAACACGCTCTACGTCATCTATACATACTCTATGAACAAATCCACAAGGGCCGTGACGAGGACCTGCGTCCAGGAGCATCCCAGATACTGCCTTAATCGACTGAGCTACGACAGGGTAAAAGGGTTGAAACCGAAGTTCTACTGAACTTACTGGATCCCGTAGCCTCTCCGAGGCACGAACCAGGCTTTTACACAACCCCCCCTGCACCCGAGCTCTGTCAATAGGCCGTTCTCCCTCTTCGCCCTTACATCATCGTCACGGCCCTTGTGGATTTGTTCATTTGATGCATCACGTTAGTGTGATCTCTGTGTGTATACATACTCTATTTTCTACACATAACAAACATTCTCGTACAGCCACTAGTACACGAAGAGTTTCGGGCAAGTCCTTAATCCTATGTTCCCAGGAATACGACCCCTGCAAAGAATCGTTTTCACAACCAAGTACCCATTTTACTGTTAAGTTAAACAGAGGCTACAGTTAAGGATTTGCATCCAGGAAATCCTCCCCGGCCAGGATACGAACCCAGGACAAAACGCTTGTGGAACGCTAGGCGAGCGTGTTACCACTACACCACGGAGACTGTTAGGGAACTTAATAATGGATAAGGAACAAAATATACTTCATTATATACCAGTATCACATTCTACTCCATCACACACAAGTAATACACTCTACTCCATCACACACAGGTAATACACTCTACTCCATCACACACAGGGAACACGCTCCGCTCCATCACAAACAGGAAGCACACTCAACTCCATCACACACAGGGAACATACACTACTCCGTCACTCACAGGAAACAAACCCCACTCCATTACACATTGTAAACTGACACTACTCCATAACACACAGGAAACACACTCTTCTCCATCACACACTTGGAACACACGCTACTCCATAACACACAGGGAACACACTCTAATCCATCACACACAGGAAACAAACACTACTCTATAACACACAGGGAATTCACTCTCCTCCATCACACACAGGGAAGACACGCTATTCCATAACACACAGGGAACACACAATACTCCATCACACACAAAGAACACACTCTACTCCATCACACATATTGAACACACACAACTCCATCACACATAAGGAACACACACTACTCCATCACACACAGGGAACACATTCTACTCCATCACACACAAGGAACATATTATTTCATCGATCACAGGAAACACACACTACTCCATCACACACAGGGAACAAACACAACTCCGTCACACATAGGGAACACACACTACTCCATCATACACAGGGAAAATACTCTTCTCCATTACACACAGAGAACAAACTCTACTCAATTACACATAGGGACCACACTCTACTCCATTGCACAGAGGGAACAAACACTATTCCATCACACACTCAGGGAACAGACAGTACTCCATCACGCATCACAGGAGTCTGGTAGCTGATTGGACAGCACGCAGGACTTGTAATCCTGTGGCCCGGGTTCGATTCCCAGCGACCGCAGAGACAAATGAGTTTCTTTCACCCTGATGCATCTGTTACCTAGCATCTGTTACTTCCTGGGTGTGTATGTGTGAAAAGACAAAAAACAAAGAAATTAGTTAGTAGGAAGTAACAGTTGATTGATTGACAGTTGAGCGGCAGGCCGAAAAAGTAGAGTTCAACCCGCGCAAGCAACTATTCACAACTAAGTGAATACATAGGAAACATAATCTATTCCATCACACACAGGGAACATGATCTACTCAATCACACACAGGGAACATGATCTACTCAATCACACACAAGGAAAACATTCTACTTCCATCACACGCAGGGAACTTGATGTACTCCATTACACGGAACACGGTTTACTCCCTCACTCACAGGGAACACACACTACTCAATCACACACACAGGGAACATAATCTACTACATCACACACAGGGAACATGATGAACTCCATCACACGCAGAGAACATGATGCACTCCATCACACATACGGAACGTGATCAATTCCATCACACACAGGGAACACACACTATTCCATCACACATAGGGGAACACACACTATTCCATCACACATAGGGGAACACACTCTACTCCATCACAAACACAGGGAACACACACTACTCCATCACACACACAGGGAACACACACTACTCCATCACACACACAGGGAACACACTCAACCTCATTACACACACAGGGAACACACTCAACCTCATTACACACACAGGGAACACACTCCACTCCATCACACACACAGGGAACACACAATACTTCATCACACAAAGGGAACTTGATCTATTCCATCACACACAGGGGAAATTATGCACTCCGTCACACACAGTGAACAGACACAACTCCATCACATACAGGGAACATAATTTTCTCCATCACAAGCAGGGAACATGATGTACTCCATCACACACAGGGAACATGATCTATTCAATCCATAACAATAGCTCTGCTCCATCCATTACATTAACTCTGCTCCGTCAATCGCATTAACTCTGCTCCATCCATCACATTAGTTCTGTTCCTTCCACCACATTAGTTCTGAGCCTTCCATCACATTAGCTCTGCTCCATCTATCACATTAATTCTGTTCCATCCATCACATTAGCTCTGCTCCATCGACCACATCAGTTGTGCTCCATCCATCACATAAACTGTGCTCCATCCATCACATAAACTGTGCTCCATCCATCACATAAACTGTGCTCCATCCATCACATAAACTGTGCACCATCCATCACATAAACTGTGCTCCATCCATCACATAAACTGTGCACCATCCATCACATAAACTGTGCTCCATCCATCACAAACTGTGCTCCATCCATCACATAAACTGTGCTCCATCCATCACATAAACTGTGCTCCATCCATCACATAAACTGTGCTCCACCCATCACATTAACTGTCCTCCATCCATCACATTAACTATCCTCCATCCATCACATTAACTGTGCTCCATCCATCACATTAACTGTGTTTCATCCATCACATAAACTGTGATCCATCCATCACATTAACTGTGCTTCATCCATCACATAAACTGTGATCCATCCATCACATTAACTGCGATCCATCCATCACATAAACTGTGCTCCATCCATCACATAAACTGTGATCCATCCACACACCTCTCCTCCAGGCACCGGAAACACAATATACCATCTCACACTACCAGCATGATCTTAACACATCTAGGTGAGAACAACTAGGTGAGTGCATCAATATTATGCTTTAATTCACACTTCTGAAAGTGTCATCACAAGTGTTGACTCTAAGTCAGTCTGGCAACTGGAGCATCAGTGTGCTACTGCTGCTACTTTAACTGCCAGAACGTTGATGGGTCGCTCCATGAACATGAATGTATTTGTATACCTGAACATTATATTCTGGATTAGTGCATCTTGGTCTTAACTTATTGATACTTTTTTCCTCACTAATGTGAGGTCCTAAATAGAGACCATTATCGGCAGTGGTGCTTAAGGTCACTCATGCTTACTTATCATCCTGGCACACCTACAAGAAATATGTACGTGATTCTCTGCCTGGCTTTTTATCCAGACCGGCTCTTTGGAGGGTCAGCAATTCCGTAAAACCGGTAAACTGGTGAGACTCTCCGAGCAGCAGCTGGTCGACTGCGCCGGCGGTGTTTACCAAAACCAGGGATGTTACGGTGGATCGATGAATTATGCTTTTAACTACATCAAGGCTTATGGGTCTGACAGTGAAGCCTTCTACCCTTACGTGGGTGTGGTAAGTGGTCTTCATCAGCACAGCACGTTCTTGGCAGCAAACTGAAAATTATATTGTTTACAATTAATATCAATCATATTTTCATTTCTACGTTTTATGATATTAACACAATATATTTTCTGCAAGGCAGTGATAATTATACATGTTTTCTTATTTATTACATGCAGCAATGGATTTGCAAATTCTCAGCCAGCAACATCTCCGCCACGTTAACTAACTACGTCACCGTAACTTCACAAAGTGAGAGTGCTCTGTTGACAGCCTTAGCTACCGTTGGTCCCATCTCTGTGGCCATCGATGCATCCCACTTTTCATTCCAGTTCTATAGCAGTGGTGAGCTCACACTTGTATATATGCAAAGGGAGGGTCCATTAAAACAAGTGCATAAATTAGAGGTAGTTGAGGAAGAGATAACGGAAAAGTCTCAGGAAATTGATAAATCAATGGCAAACAAAAGTCGAAAGACTTGAGAACAAAGGACAAAACAAGGTTTTTAAATGGATACTAAAAGAAGCTGTTGAGATCCTAGGGCGTAAAGATGGAAGTACCATTGCCTGCAAGCCAAAGATGTTTATTTTTTTATGATTGTCTATCACAGACATGGCCACACATTTACAATGCCAACCATAATATATATATTTCCTTCTGTCCTCCATGGAAAGGGTTAGAGACCCGTTAAGCATATTGATCAGTTATCTATTAAACAATCAACTACAGAAGGTGATTGTACTGCTTTTAAAATGTTAATCTTACTTACATAAATGTTTAAATACACAGATTTAAGTCTGTCGGACATTAATAGTGTTCGAGGTGTTTTTTACAGTGTCATTATTGTGCGTTTATAAAGATGAAATGTAATTCTAACCATCTTACACATATCCTATATACACATACGTACATATTTATATACACTTACACATTTATTTCTCTCCGACTTTGACAGGATAAGACAGTTGCTATAGAAACTAGTGGTATTAAGAACTTAACCATTGAAGGTGGATAAGATGCTTTTACAAGCATAAGTTAAAGTTACATAATATACATTGTATAACTGTTGCATTACATAATCAATCTCGGGTACATGTCCAGGATATGAGACATTCTACAATATAAATATTCAATGGAGTGCATATTTTCTCTTTCACAAAGTTGACACACTTTTTTTTTTTTTTACATGCAAGCATGCGTATAATGTACAATAAAAACAGAACAAATATAACATAGAACAAAAGTACAAAGCACACACATGAACAATGACAAAGGAACAAATCAAGAGAAGACCAGCCAGAAGGGCTGACCACAAAACAAAAATGCATCTACAAACATAACACAAATATAAACACAACGTAATACAAACATAAGGGAAACAGAGAGGCGAGAAACAGACAAAACAAGTCTGCTAACACCTCAAACACATAATGCACACATAACAAAGAGCACACCCCAACAGCCTGAAGGGCACACAATATGACAAGCGCACACGACATCCACAACCGAACACACAAACGCATAGGAACCGCACACCCCCCCACTAGCCATACAAGAAAACCCACAATACAAACCGGAGCACGCAGGAACCGGGAAACAATACCCACCCCACCCACTCACATACACACCCCACAACCAGGCAACACAAAATACATAGAAATCACTTGCGAGGAACCTCGTGAGAAATGTATTTCTCCGGGAAAAGATCATGAGGATATTTCGCCTTGTAAGCTTCCCAGCCTAGATCTTCAAGGTCGGTAAGGTTTTCGACCGCCCCCGCTCTCGAGCGGGTATCATAAACTCATGAACATCTATATCTGGCGGCATCGGCCAATGCCTAAGGTCACTGACGCAAGTCGCATAACGAGGCCGGGGAGCGCCAACCACGCCCTTCGAGGAAGCAGATGACACCGGAGAAGCGGACGAGGGTCGCCGAGCCTGCCACGCCTTCATCATCGGAGCAGGTGCCGGACGCTGACGACGATACCACGGATACCGCAGGAGACACGGAAGGGACTGCAGGAAACGGAAGAGGCGGCAAGACCTCTGCCGAGGAAACGGGTAACGAGGAAGGGACCACAGAACATCCAGAGCGAGCATCCTTTCTCAACATCACTACCAGGCCACCCCACTCACCACCAACTACAGCAGGGGGAACCACCGCCCACGAAGAACCGGAGCCATCCGACGCAGGCAACGCACCTGAAGCAGGACCCTCGGACACCGGACCAGAAGTTGAGGCCGAAACGCCGGCACCGGCATCCTCAGGCAAGTGTACCTCCAACACCACCGTAGTGTGCACCACATTCGGAGCCACTCCACCGTCAACGGAAGGACGACACTCGTCGAATTCGCCAACATCAGCCCACGCAGAAGAACGCCGGGAACGCTTAGGCTCGGGCCGCACATAATCAGACCCGGAGGCAGACTCAGCGACCCGCGCAGCACCAACCGAGCGAACCGACGCACGCCGCAGCACGGCAGCCTCGTCAACCATACGGGGCACCAGGCCAGGCACAGGAGGGAATGCCTGAACCACCTCAGCTCCCAGCACAGCCGGAACAGACGGCGAGGGCGCAGGGACCGGGACAGACACAGCAGAGGAAAAACTGGAAGACGAGGGGTCTGAGCAAACGGCAGGCGGAAGAGGCTCAGGGACACCAGCAGGAGCACTAGGCGAGGACCCAACCTCCGGAGGAGATGCGGCAACAACAGGGGGCGCAACAGGCGGAGCAACAGCTGCTACAGAGGGCACCTCCTCAGCCGAAGAGACGTCCATACCCACCGAATCATCCCCCACAGGAAGGGGCGGAAAATCCTCCTCACTGAAGAGATTCACTGGTGCAACAGCAGGCGCAAAACAGTCAGCAGCCTGATGGCCCAAAAGACCACAACGATAACACGTCCGCGGCTGACGGGCGTAAAACACCCGAACGTTGTACCCCATAAGGCGCACAGAGGACGAAATATCCGCCCGGAGTCTCATGCCCAGGGTGCGAATGTTAGACCTTACACCCTTAAGAGGACTAGAAGACACCACGTTCACTCTCACACTAACAACTGCGCCAAACCGGCCAAAATACCGCCGTAGCAGAGCCTCTGGAAACTCCAAGGGAGCCCCATGCACACTGATATAAGTAAGTGCACCACTTCTATCCGAGAGGGTGACAGTGCCCGCACCATCCGGCAGGGGCAGAGTCCGCCCCTCGTATCGCTGGAGAAAATCGCGATACGCCACCTCCTCTGCAAACTTCACAATTGCCCTACGGGCCGTTACCAACTCGACCCCATAAATCGCAAACACAGGGACAGAGAGCATTTCACAAGCCAGGGCAATCTCCGGGTAACCAGCCCGTACAGAGAACTCTAGTCCCACAGACTGAGCCCGGACGACTGAGGGTAGAGTAACGCCACGTCAGCACTGGCGAGCAGAGACACACCCGCCCCCAACCAGCCGAAACGGGCAAACAACACCAACTGCCGGAGCGCCGATTCAACACGTCCGCCCCGTACCGAAGCTAGGGCCAGACTCCCAAGTTGACACACATGGTGTATTCCACACTTCAGTTTTGATAAAGCTGCCAGATATGTGTATATTCCAGGTGTATTCTGACCACTATAACATCACATTTCCGAGTTCTTGATTTTATTAATTTCATATATAAATTTCTCCTCACGATATTTATTATAATGTTTTAATACTGCAGCTTTCAGGTTTTTGTGAATTTGTTTTGTCAGTAAAATTTCATCAGATATTTATTTAAGTCACTGTCACAGTCATTGACAGTGACTGTCACTGTTAATCCATATAAATTTTTACTACTGGTTTACTACAGGCTGTCTTTGCAAGCATGTCAACTCATGAATCTCATGCTTTGAGATTCCAACATGTGATGGCATCTAAAGGAATTTAATTTTCAAATCGTTTTTCTTTAGCAGCTAAAACGAATATTCGAATATCACTATTTTCTGAGGTGTTATTATAATATGAGTGCATGGGAGGAGTTGTGTAAAACCCTGGTTTGTGCCTCGGAAAAGCTGCGGGATCCAGTAAGTTCAGTACAACTTCGGCTTCAACTCCTTTTACCATGTCATACCTCAGTCGATTAAGGCAGCGTCTGGGATGCTCTCGGACGCAGGTTCGAATCCTCGTCACGGCCCTTGTAGATTTGTTCATAAAATCATAGTTGGGTCTATATAATTTCCCGGTGAATTCAGTAGTTTTGGGATGGTTGGCGTTTGACCTATAGTTGCTGAGTGGGTTATTAAAAACTTAAGCAGGTGTATGGAAATAATCTGAATGCCGGTATAACTCACCTTATCGCAACAAAATTATTTTCTCATTGATATATGCAAACTATTGCGATTTCTTTGTGATCTGAAGGAGGGGTGTAAAGGTGTGAATTCGATTACCCACAGGCCAGCATGAAGGCGGGCAGCAAAATTCTGGTTGAGTACCAGTTTGTGATTTTAAACCCTCCCTGTGTGTGTGTGTGTATGTATATATATATATATATATATATATATATATATATATATATATATATATATATATATATATATATATATATATATATTTATATATATATATATATATATATATATATATATATATATATATATATATATATATATATATATATATATATATATATATATATATATATATATATATATATATATATATATATATATATATATATATATATATATATATATATATATATATATATATATATATATATATATATATATATATATATATATATATGTCGTACCTAGTAGCCAGAACGCACTTCTCAGCCTACTATGCAAGGCCCGATTTGCCTAATAAGCCAAGTTTTCATGAATTAATTGTTTTTCGACTACCTAGCCTACCTAACCTAACCTAACCTAACTTTTTCGGCTACCTAACCAAACCTAACCTATAAAGATAGGTTAGGTTAGGTTAGGTAGGGTTGGTTAGGTTCGGTCATATATCTACGTTAATTTTAACTCCAATAAAAAAAAATTGACCTCATACATAATGAAATGGGTAGCTTTATCATTTCATAAGAAAAAAATTAGAAAAAATATATTAATTCAGGAAAACTTGGCTTATTAAGCAAATCGGGCCTTGAATAGTAGGCCAAAAAGTGAGTTCTGGCTACTAGGTACGACATATATATATATATATATATATATATATATATATATATATATATATATATATATATATATATATATATATATATGTCGTACCTAGTAGCCAGAACGCACTTCTCGGCCTACAATGCAAGGCCCGATTTGCCTAATAAGCCAAGTTTTCCTGAAATAATATATTTTCTCTAATTTTTTTCTTATGAAATGATAAAGCTACCCATTTCATTATGTATGAGGTCAATTTTGTTTTATTGGAGTTAAAATTAACGTAGATATGACCGAATCTAACCACATCTACCTAACCTAACCTAACCTATCTTTATAGGTTAGGTTAGGTTAG